GGATTCGAACCCACCAGCTCAGGTGTATATGGCTGGCACCTTAGCCGCTTGAGCCACAGGTGCCCAGCCTCAGCGGAGTTTTTTCTTTTCTTTTTTGCAGTTTTTGGCCGGGGCTGAGCTTGAACCTGCCACCTCCGGCTTATGGGGCCAGTGCCCTACTCCTTTGAGCCACAAGTGCCGCCAAGTTTTAATTCACTTTTCTTGTCTATTTCCTTTGATCTTGTTGCCCATCCTGTCTCCACTGAAACTTTCTTTTTTCCATGATTCTTTTTCATTCTGTCCCATAACTCTGGAGATCTCCAGGTTGAGTCTCAGCCTCCTTCCCTAACTATACATCCTCCTAAAAGTGGGCGTGCCTCAAGGCTCTGCCATTGGTTATCTAATTTTTTCACTCTGTATTTTCCCCCTCAGAAATCTTACTGTGACCTTCCTTTCACCTTTATGATCATGACCTCCAAATCTTTTCCAACCCTGGCCCCTAAGCCTCAAAGTACTTGGCCCATTTCTCCAATTCCTGTCTCCATCTCCTCCTAAATGTATTACCTTCATTTAAAATTTAATGTGTCGTCTTATACTGAGTTCCTCATGTTTCACCCAAACCCCTTAACTAAGTTGATTGACAATACAAAAGTTTGTACCTTTTGACCTAATTTTCCCACTCATGCAAATTTGTCCTAAAGAAAAAATATTGTTTTTTTTTTTTTTAAGAAGACACATGGATCCTGAAGAAAGAAAAAAAATTTTGAAGGAACTACCCCCCCCAAATTATATATACTTTAAAGCTAAATTTCCTTGATTTAAATCCCACTGTTGCCACTTCTTGTGTGATCCTGGGCCTATTATATAACTTCTCTGTGCTTTGGATTTCTGATTTGTAAAATAGGGACTATAATAGTACTTATTATATAGGTTGGTGTCTGGATGAAGTGAGTTATTATGTAAAGCACTTAACAACAGTACTGATACGTGGTAAGCACTGTAAAAATATTAGCTGTTATATAGGGCTCACTTTAGCTCTATTTCTAATAGTTAAAAACGGGGAACAATCTAGGAGGAATATTTACATAAAATTTAATAGATAAGGTTGATGGAATATATATAATAATTAAAGATCGTAATTGTGAGGAGTATAGCAATAAGGAAAATATTTATGATATACTTAAAAGAATATTTCTGGATGGCAAGGTTGAGGAATGATGGCCACTCACCTTATTGTTATGTAAAAATAAAAATCTCAGAAAGAAAGAAACAAGTTCCTCACTCATATTTGCTTTCAGTGTTACCATCATTCTCTCAGGTTTGAAATTTGAGTCATTTTTTTCCTTCCTCCCTCTTTCCCTACCACTAGTCATAATGTTTCTTAAATTCATTTCTTTGTGATCTCATGTCCTCCTCCCCTTAAACCTAGACGGTTGATTGCAGTAATCTTTTTGACTTGTTTCTTTCTTCCATTCCACCTTGTATACCGTCACAGACTGATTTTTCTAAGTTACCATTTTATGCCCATCTTGTTTCCTGCTTTTAAGGAAATTGTTATGAGCAATCTTCACTCCACCTCTTTAGAACCTGGACCCCAAACTCATTAGCTTGGCATTTAAAACCTGCTGTGTTTAGCCCCTTTTCCACCTTGCCAATTTTAACTTTTAGCTACTCTCATGAATAAACGTTTGTGTCAGCTAAACTATCTCCTTATAGATCCTCTTCAAATTTCTGACACCATGCCTTTGCAGATGTCTTGCTTCGATTTGCCTTACCTCTTCTTTCTGACTTACTCTTGCCTTACTCTCACTTCAGGGTCCCCTTCTCTTGAAGTCTTTCTTGGTCACTTGAGTCCTTACCGATTATTCCTGCCTCTGAATTCCTATAGTGTTTATTGTGTATAGCAGTTATTTATAGTGACTGTTACTTGTCTGTTTATATCCTTTATCTACAAATAGTACTAGAGGGTAAACTGTTCAAAAACAGGGATGAGTTTTTACTTCAGTGTTCTTAGGATAGGGCAAGTGCTCTTTGTATGTATTTTTTGAGATAAGAAAGCAACAAGCTCAAAATAGGAAGATAAAGAAAGTATTATACTTGTTAAGGTTTCAACGATTTTAAACCTCACTTTAAAAAATGCTGCAAAATGATTCTGTAGTTTTCAGAGAAGCTGTGAATATAGATCAATAGAGTTTTAACATGTTAGTAAAAACTAATCTCTGAGGCAGCGCCTGTGCCTCAAAGGAGTAGGGTGCCAGCCCCATATACCTGAGATGGCGGGTTCAGACCTGGCCTCAGCCAAAAACTACAAAAAAAACAATAATAAACTAATCTCTGTTTGGGTCTAAGCTGAGTTCAAAGGACTCTGCTTTTAGATTTTCTAAGGAACCAAAATTCTGAATTGTTATTCCTTCTGAGATTGCTTTACAAGGTAAATGAAACCCAGTTCCCAAGTTTGTCAGAATGAAAGAAAGGATATTCTTACTTGGTCTATAGTTTTAATCAAGGATTTAAGCTAGCAAAGAGAAAATGTATAACTTAATAAAATTAATGTGTTAATTTTCCTAGCTGAAAGTCTTTAAGGGGTATAATTTTGCTTTTAATGGGAATTAAAACCAAGTGATTCTGAATTAACGTGAAATTTCAAGTTCTTGCTTAATTTCTTTAGCGCCAGCAGAAACTTCAGAAGGAACGCCTCATGAATGACTTCTCTGCAGCCTTGAACAGTTTCCAGGCTGTGCAGAGAAGGGTATCTGAAAAGGAAAAGGAGAGTATTGCCAGAGCAAGAGCTGGATCTCGTCTTTCTGTAAGTTGATTTCCAAAGAAAGACCTTTGAAATTTGAGGACGCTCTTTCCCGAAGTGTTTTTTTTCCTCCTTGATTATTAGCTTTTGTTTACTATCACCTCAAATAACATACATATACATCAGCTGCTGTGGAAATGTCAGATTGGTATAACCTATATAAAAAACATGTATACATGTGGTCAGCTACCAGAAAGGAATATGCACAACTGTTAAAAAACATGGGAGGTTAGCCTGGCGTGGTGTCTTAGGCCTGTAATCCTAGCACTCTAGGAGACTGAGGTAGGTGAATTGCATGAGCTTGGAAGTTTGAGACCAACCTGAGCAAGAGGGAGACCCTATCTCTAAAAAATTGCCGGGCACTGTGGCAGGCACCTGTAGTCCCAGCTACTTGGGAGGCTAAGGCAGGAGAATCACTTGAACCCAAGAGTTTGAGGTTGCTGTGAGCTGTGACGCCATGGCGCTCTACCCAGGGGGACAGAGTGAGACTCTGTCTCTAAAAAGAAAAAAAGTATCAAAGAGCTATTAAAATATTAAGGTCAAAATCTAAGAGAGGTCAAAATCTAATCTAACACTCTCTTAGAGTTGGTAAATATACCCTGAGTATATTTACTGAAGGTAAACTTGAACTTCATTTTTGATGTCCTCATGACGTGAAGAGGATAAAAGTCAAAGCCCAGGGTCCACAAAGGCAGAGAATGTAAAAGAAGGTGCTTCTCAAATTAAACTGGCCTTAAATGACTATATCCTTATGGTAAGCTTGCTTTTGTAAGCCCTTTCTCCCCTAGTGGATTGCAAAAAGGTTACATTAACACTGAACTGAGCAGATGCTGGAGGAGGGCAGTAGGTAGGGGCAACTGAGACAATGTGTTGTGCCATAATATAATCTTCATGTTCTGTAAACTACATAAATTCATACTACTTGGTCCAAAGCTTCAAGCTTCAAGTGGTCCTAGACTGGTAGAGCGCCTATATAGCAGGCAGAAGCAAACATAAATTCTCTCTGTGGAAAGATACCTTGAAAGAATATCTCAGACAGTTTTTCAAGGGCAGTGAGTAGCACACAGTTAAAGATAACCAAGTATATGATGAGGCAAATTACCCTAAACAAGAACTAGTAAAAATAACAATGAAGTGAAATGTAACTAAAAAGACTTTTATATATTAGAATTATAAGGCAACTATACTTTCTGCATTAAAAGAAATAATAAAAAACTTGAAAACATCTGCAGGAAACTACAAAAACCTTTGAAAATCATGAAAAGGGGCTTGGCGCCTATGGCTCAAGTGGCTAAGGCACCATCCACATACACCTAAGGTGGCAGGTTCAAATCCAGCCCGGGCCCACCAAAACAACAATGATGGCTGCAACCAAAAAATAGCCAGGCGTTGTGGCGGGTGCCTGTGGTCCCAGCTACTTGAGAGGCTGAGGCAGGAGACTCGCTTGAGCCCAGGAGTTGGAGGTTGCTGTGAGCTGTGATGCCATAGCACTCTACCCAGGGGGAAGCTTGAGGCTCTGTCTCAAAAAAAAAGAAAGAAAATCATGAAAAGGATTTCTAAAATTGAAAGGCATCTTAGGGAATTAAAAACTTAATGGATTGGGTGGCGCCTGTGGCTCAGTGGGTAGGGCACCGGCCCCATATACAGAGGGTGGTGGGTTTGAACCCAGCCTTGGCCAAACTGCAACAACAAAATAGCCAGGCGTTGTGGTGGGCGCCTGTAGTCCCAGCTACTGAGGAAGCTGAGGCAAGAGAATCACCTAAGCCCAACAGCTGGAGGTTGCCATGAGCTCTGACGGTACAGCACTGTACTGAGGGCGACAAAGTGAGACTCTGTCTTTTAAAGAAAAAAAAAACAACTTAATGGATGGATAGCTTAACTAGAAAATCAGTAAGAAGGTATTACCCAACATGTAGCACAGGAAGTTAAGAGCTTAAATATATAAGAAAGATCATGAGAAATGGAGAATGGAGTGAAAAGATCTAATATGATTTTTTTGTTTTGTTTTATTTTGTTTTGTTTTATGACAGAATTTCACTATGTCGCCCTCAGTAGAGTGCTGTAGCATCACAGCTTACAGCAACCTCCAACTCTTGGGCTTAAGCCAGCAGTTCTCAACCTGTGGGTTGCAGACCCCTTTGTAACAATGAAAATATATCCTGCATATCAGATATTTACATTACAATTCATAATAGTAGCAAAATTACAGTTATGAAGTAGCTACAAAAATAATTTTAAGGTTGGGGGTCATCACAACATGAGGAACTGTATTAAAGGGTCGAGGCATTAGGAAGGTTGAGAACCGCTGGCTTAAGCGATCCTCTTGCCACAGCCTCCTAAGTAGCTGGGACTACAGGTGCCTGCCACAATGCCCAGCTATTTTTTGACTGTAATTGTTATTGTTGTTTGGCAGGCCCGGGCTGGGTTCAAACCCTCCAGCTCTGGTGTATGTGGCTGGTGCTCTAGCCACTGAGTTAGAGGTGCTGAGCCTCTAATATGGTTTTAATTGCAATTACAGAATGAGATTAAAGTAAACATAGAATACAAGTGACATTTGAAGAAGTAACGACTGATAATATTCTAGAACTGATGAAAGACAGTAGTCTATAGTTTCTTTTTCTTTCTTTCTTTTTTTTTTTAATACCTAGTTTCTCTTTTTTTTTGCAGTTGTTTGGCCGGGGGCCGGGTTTGAACCTGCCACCTCCGGTACATGGAGCTGGCGCCCTACTCCTTTGAGCCACAGGCACTGCCCAGTAGTCTATAGTTTCAAGACGCCTAAGAAATCCCAAGCAGAATACATAAAGTCTCTTATCTAGATACATCAAAGAGAAACGTCCAAGTACCAAAGACAAAGAGAAAGTCATAAAAATAGCTAGAGAAACAATAGAATACCTTCAAAGATGCAATAGATTGACAGTTGACTTCTCACCAGCAACAATGGAAGCCAGTAGATTGTAATCTTGAATGTTAATGATGGATAATAACAGCCTAGGTGGGATTCTAAACCCAGTAGAAATATATATCCAAAATGATGGCTAGTTAAAGTCCTATCAGCATACCTTATTCTAAAGAATGTACTTCAGGTAGATGGAGAGTGATCTCAGATGGAAAGTCTAAAAAACCCAAAAGAATGAAGAGCAAAGAAAGTGGTAAATACATGAAAAACAAGCCACAGGCAGGGAGAAGATATTGCTGTATTGTAATTGACAAAGGGCTAATATTTAGAATAAATGAAGAATTGCTATGAATCAGTATAAAATAGATACAATACAATAGAATAAAAGTTTTCAAATTTTTTGATCTCAGAACCCCATTACATTTTTAAAAATTATTAAAGGTCGAGCACAGTGTTTCGCATCTATAATCTCAACATTTTGGGAAGCCAACATGGGAGGATTGTTGAGCCAGAAGTTCAAGAGTGAGATCCTGTCTCTTAAAAAAAAAAAGTCTATAAATATTGGGAAACTCTTACAGTGGTGGATACAAGTCTTCTAAAATTCTTTATTTTCTTTATTTGAAAGCTACATTTTTGTCATTGAGGATCTGCAACCCTCAACCATGATAGGCTCATGGTTTTTTTATTTTTATTTATTTTTGAGACAGAGCCTCAAGCTGTTGCCCTGGATTGAGTGCCATGCATCACATCTCACAGAAACCTCAAATTCTCGGGCTTAAGTGATTCTCTTGCCTCAGCCTCCTACATAGCTGGGACTACAGGCTCCTGCCACAATGCCTGACTATTTTTTGGTTGTAGTTGGCACTGTTGTGGCAGGCCCAGGCTGGGTTCGAACCTGCCAGCTCCGGTGTATGTGGCTGGCACCTGAGCTGCTGAGCTATAGGTGCCAAGCCAATAGGCTCATGTTTATTTTCAAGAAGTTATCTGCCAAATACCCATTTAAAAAGTTTTTAAAAGCTTATAAAAGGTTTAAAGGATTTCATAAGCTTTTTATAAAATCTTATAACAGTGTATATATTGTTGGGCAGCGCCGGTGGCTCAAAGGAGTAGGGTGCTGGCCCCATATACTGGAGTTAGTGGGTTCAAACCCAGCCCCGGCCAAAAACTGCAAAACCCCCAAAACTATATATATTGTTTTGTTTTATTTTTGAGACAGAGTCTTACTCTGTTTCCCTTGCTAGAATACATTGGTGTTACCATAGCTCACTGCAACCTCAAACTTCTGGGCTCAAGCAATCTTCCTGCCTCAGCCTCCTGAATAGCAGTGATCATAGGCATGTGCCACAATGCCCACCTAATTTTTCTACTTTTGTAGAGACAGGGCTGTGTTCTTGCTTAGGCCAGTCTTGAACAACTGACCTCAAATGATCTTCCTTCCTCACCTCCCGTAGTGCTAGGATTATAGGCATGAGCCACTGCACCTGGCCAGACTATAGTGAATCAGTAAAAATTGGCATTCCCTAAAAAAGTGGCTAGTTCAGCCTGCAACTCAATTATACAAGTGCTTTTCCTGGAGACAAACATATTTGTTTACTTTTTATTTTTAAGGAGATGGGGGTCTTTGCTATGTTGCCCAGGCTGGATTCAAACTTTTAGGCTCAAGCAATTCTCTCACCTCAGCTTTGTGACTAGTAGAAATGACAGTGCACCACTGTGTCTAGCTCAACATTATATTTCTTTTTTTTCCTTTGAGACAGTGTCTTACTATGTCAACCTTGGTAGCATGTGTGGCATCTCACAGCAATCTTACTCTTGGGCTTAAGCAGTTCTCTTGCCTTAGCCTCCCAAGTATCTGGGACTACAGGCACCCGCCACAATGACTGGCTATTTTTTTTTTTTTTTTTTGAGACAGAGCCTCAAGCTATCCCCCTGGGTAGAGTGCCGTGGCATTACAGCTCACAGCAACCTCCAACTCCTGGGCTCAAGCAAGTCTCCTGCCTCCGCCTCCAAAGTAGCTGGGACCACAGGCGCCCGCCACAACGCCCGACTATTTTTTGGTTGCAGCCGTCATTGTTGTTTGGCGGGTCCGGGCTGGGGATTCGAACCCGCCACCTTAGGTGTACATGGCTGGCGCCTTAGCTGGTTGAGCTATAGGCGTCGAGCCATGACTGGCTATTTTATTGTTGTTGTCGCTGTTGTTTAGCAGGCCCAGGCTGGGTTGGAACCCACCAGCCCTGGTGTATGTGCCTGCCCCCCTAACCACTGAGCTACGGTGCCAAGCCAACATTATATTTTTTTATGCGGCACTAGTACTTTATGCACACTTCCCATTTCAACCTATGGGATGTTAACAATATGTATACTGAAGGGTCAAGATTTAATGAATTAATAATTTGTATGGCTTCCGGGACAAACTGGCTTTTTTTTTCTCTATTGTGGGTACATGGTGGTGAAGAATACAATAATACTGTATAATTTGGTGCCACTGCTTTGAGTCATTTTATCCACCATTGCGTTTGCTCCATGGCTATAAATGTCAACACAGTGAAAAAGACACAAACATATTAATGTTACTTTGAATAATGGTCAAACAAATGAAAAGGTACTGAATGTTTTTAGTAGTTGTGAAATTGCAGCTTAAAACAATAGTGTGGTAGTATTTCATGTCTAGAATGAGAGCAACAGTTTTTAATTGTGAGAACTGGGGGTCGTTGCAGATATGATGCAATGTGTGGATGTGATGCAGTATGTCAGTCACTTTTTAAAATGCAAAAAAATGGTCTTTACAAAAATCATTTGTGATAATGGATATTCTAAGGAGGAGAGAGGCAGCTGTAATTGGAGAAGGGCACATGGGTAGGCTCTTAGGACACTGGCAGCGTTTATTTTGATCTAGGGAAAAAGTAAAAAGAAAAAGAAAAGACATACTGCTAAAGCATTCCTCTGGGTGGGTTGATTTTTAAAATTTTCCTCATTGCTGTTATAAAAAGGGTAAGCTTTTTAAACGTGAAAATAGATTGGTCTTTAACATTTTTGTTTTAAATTACAAAAGTATAGAAACTGTTCTCCAAGATAATTTTATCTTAAAAAGAAGGAAAAAAAATTACAAAAGTAATACATGCACAAGACTGCTTCTAAGTAAGTTTGCTCCTTAGCAGCCAATACGCTATGTGTCCGTTAAAAAGTTTTTACATGTTCTGAAAATGTGTTTTCTGTAAGTTTTCAACCCTCTCCCTTATTACGTCTCCCCCAAATTCTAAAATAGGTTATTATTACATTTTTTTGTCCTTCTCTCTTACCCATGTTCTTCTTTCATCCTATTCAGTATGGTTTCTGTTCTGGGCTCAAGCTGGAATGCAGATTTGCTTTCAGCCACTTCACACCCATTTCTTAGTTGAGACAGATTGCCAGAGTCCTGTGTCACTGTTGGAGCCAAGGGATGCTGCTTCTTTATACTGTAGCTAAGGAAACCCTTGTTTTGCGTGTCTGTCTGTGACATGTTTCTGGATAACAGTAGCAATAATGCCATCTGCTTTCTAGGCAGAAGAGAGGCAAAGAGAAGAACAGCTGGTCTCATTTGACAGGTAATAGAATTATTCATATAACCTGCTGGGTAGCTGAGATGGGGGGTCTGTATCTTTATTTTTAATTTTAAAAAATCAATGAGAAAAAAGGGCTACTTGAGGTGGGTAACTTATAAACTATAAAATAAAAAAGTAAAAACCATGGGCTTTTCCAAGATCTTTGAGTTATGGAAGAAATAATTTCAGGGTGAGTAAAAAATTCCAAGAAACCCCTGACGTTTTATGTGTTGGAGACGAAGCTTAACTCCCTAGGAATAACTAAGGATAACATTTACAGATTAGAAGGTCTAAATCATCTTACTGCTAGTTCAGATTTAAGTTCTTCAAAGTTCTTAGGTCTCTGTTTACTCATCTGTAAAATGGAGGCAACCCATCCTTTTGGTAATATAAGAGGAAAAGCAGACAATTTGTATCTAAAAGATGTCTCCTGGCTCAGTGCCTGTGGCTCAAGTGGCTAAGGCGCCAGCCACATACACCTAAGGTGGCGGGTTCAAATCCAGCCTGGGCCCACCAAACAACAATGACGGCTGCAACCAAAAAATAGCCAGGCGTTGTGGTGGGTGCCTGTGGTCTCAGCTACTTGGGAGGCAGAGGCAGGAGACTCGCTTGAGCCCAGGAGTTGGAGGTTGCTGTGAGCTGTGATGCCATGGCACTCTACCCAGGGGGACAGCTTGAGGCTCTGTCTAAATAAATAAATAAATAAATAAATAAATAAAGTCTCCTTTCTTAGCTTCTCCAAGTAATCCCATAGAAATGTGTCCATATTATTAGTTCAGCTTAATGTTTTATCATGTTAAGGTACAAATTTACCTCTCCCCATTGTACAATGACCTCAAAGGCCTGGAGTCTCTTAGTCTTAACTCAGTTTGTATCTCCAGCACATAGAGGATATTCTTTAAATATTGTAGAGATGAAGTGTGATTTATACCTATTATTGGAAAAATGCATAATACTGGAACTTCAAAATATTTTGTGTCTAGTATAATAAGTAATATGCCTTCCTTTCAAAGAGTTGAAAAGAAGAGTTACAACATTTCAGTAGCTTTTTGTGAAGAGGTAATTAACCTAAAGCATAACCTCAAGGAAATTTCAGAACTCCAGAAGATGTGATTCTCTGAAACTAATTGGTGAAGCATGATAGGTCACTTAGCCTGTTCCCCTCTACCCATTTATTATCCAAGGTACCAACTCAGCTTGCACTTCGAAAGTGTTCTGGAAGAGGATGGCTCAGTATAATTTACTGAGTTTAAATTTCTGGCTACTTTCATTGTCCCAGCAAGACTGTAAAGTATATCACTAAGTGGAAATAGCAAGGAGTTCCACCCTCATCTTGAGCTTCCATGGGCGAAGCTAAGACTTTGCTTTCCTGGTGTTATCAGCTCTTTGCCTCTAGATATGAAGAATGTGGCCCTTAGGGATTTTGTGTAGATACCAGAGGAATTGAAGCCCTGGTAATGTCTTTGCATAAGTTCTCCTAGCAGTAGAGATGTTGTACATATGTCTTGTCACACCTTAGGGAGGAGGAATCAACTAGTATCTTTGTCTCCCTGCAGCCATGAGGAGTGGAACCAGATGCAGAGCCAGGAGGATGAGGTGGCCATCACCGAGCAGGATCTGGAACTTATTAAAGAGAGGGAAACAGCAATTCGGCAGCTGGAGGTGAGAACCAGGTTATGTTTGTTGTTTGATTCAGGGGGTCTGTAGGAATCTGGACTCTTTACCTACATTTTCTCTCTATAATTATGAAAAAGCATGAACGAGTATTACCTGTCTCAGTGTAATCATGGGGAATTTGAACTACTGTTACGATGATTTCGACCAGGAGTACCTGAATCCTTTTCTCAACCACATCACATCTTACATGTTCCGTTTGAGAAATATGCATGGAGAACAGACCTAGGCAAACAGATATTTTGTTCCCAAATCTTACTGCCAGTGTCTGGGTTAATCTAGGCTGTATGGAGAGCCCCTTCACTTAGTCTGAATAGCCCAATATAATAGGTGATCCAAAAGTCTTGCTCCATTTTTGTGTATCCTGAGATCCAGTTCCAAGTTGTAGATCTTACCACTTCAGTTGATTAGAGACACAGGAACAGTTTTTGAGGTAGAGGCTAAGGGAGATGTCTGTAAGGCCTCCCTTACCTAATTGAGCTTCCAACATTTAACTTTATCCAATAACCATTAAAATTTCCTTAAACCTGGGGCGGCACTTGTGGCACAAAGGAGTAGGGCACCACCCCGATATGCTGGAGGTGGTGGGTTCAAACCCAGCCCTGGCCAAAAACTGCAAAAAAAAAAATTTTTTTTCCTTAAACCTGAGAAGTGTTCCCCTCTGTGGACATAGAAGACCACCATCAGTGGGGTAGGGGAAAGAGAAAAGGAAGGAGAGAGATTCTTAACATTTATCTATAGCAGTGGTTCCGGACCATGACTGCATTAGAATCACCTTAAAATTATTTTCAGTAGCTCCAGCTCTTCTCTCTAGCTGCCCCCCACCAATTATTAGATTGGACTCTATGAAATTCCTGTTTCTTGTAGTTTAAAAATGGGCAAAAATTGGCTCGGCGCCCACAGCACAGTGGTTATGGTGCCAGCCACATACATTGTAGCTGGTGGGTTCGAGCTCGGCCTGGGCCTGTTAAACAACAATGACAACTGCAACAGAAAATTGCCGGTATTGTGGCAGGCACCTGTAGTCCCAGCTACTTGGGAGGCTGAGGCAATAGAATCGCTTAAGCCCAAGAGTTTGAGGTTGCTGTGAGCTATGATGCCATGGCACTCTATCGAGGGTGACAAAGTGAGACTCTGTCTCAAAATAAATAAATAAATAAAATATAAATGGGCAAATATTCATAATTTTATATGGTTCAACCTAGTAAGTCATAATTTGGGAGTGAGACACTAGGCTTGAATGCTTTTTAAAAGCTCCATGACTGTTAACGTGCAGCCAGGATTGAGACCCACTACTCCAGAGGCTGCCAGTGTCTGTTTTTAGATGGGCAGTTTATCTTCAAGTTAGAATTATTTTATTGCCTTTAAAGATGTCATACCTTTCTTTTACTTTTTCACCTACTGCTACTAATCATTGACATGGGATTCTAACATTAGAATTATTATTGGCCTTCTTTGTCTACTGGTTTCACATCCTTGGTTCAACTAAATGTGGATCAAAAAATATTTGGAAAAAAACAAACAATAAAAAAAGAACAATAAATAATATAAGTGTAAAAAGCAATATAGTATAACTCTACACCATTTTATATCAGGGACTTGTAGGGGAAGATCCAGTCCCCTGTGGATACTGAGGGACAAAGGTACTATTATAACACAAAGTAGAATGAGACATGTAGAGCTAAGGAAAGAACTGTAATGGATGTTGGGAATGGATCATTTAGCATTCAACAGAATGAAGTCTGAATTCCTTACCCTGGGCCTAATGTTTATATCCAATCATTTCCTACCTTTGACATACAAACCCTATGTTATGGCCAAGCTGGAATTTGGACTAAAGGTCTGTTTATATGACCTTTCCTTTGCTTTAAGGCATAACTCAACTCCTTCCTCTTCTGCAAAGTCTTCCTCTTCTGCACACCTTTCACTACCATTCATTTGGTCATTTCCTGTATAACACCCTTTCTTCTTATTGAATTGCGTACTTATTCCCCAACCCTCCGCCAGTTAGCTGATCCACAGCAACTAGCAGACTGCCCCAGCTATAGTAAATTCTTAGCAAATGATTGAGATGCTGGCAAGAACTGCTTTTGCCAAATTATGATTCCAATTACACTTCAAATTGGATTCTTCTTTTTTGTTTTGACACAGAGTCTCACTCTGTCACCCTGGCTAGAGTGCAAAGGCATCATCATAGCTTGCTGCAACTTCAAACTCCTAGCTTCAAGCGATCCTTCTGCCTTAGCCTCCTGAGTAGCTGGGACCTACAGGCATGCACCATCATACCCAGCTTAGTAAATTGGAATCTTCTAATGGACATCGACATGTCCTAGTTAAATGAACCCTCAAATTTCCTCAGGGTCATGTTCCATATGGGCATCTCTTTAATAGGGCAGGTTTCTATTTCCCTTATATAGGGGATTTTACCACTGTTCAATTCTTTCATCACTACTAGGAAAATGGGACACACTTCAGCCCACCAAACTGATTTGTTTTTATCTTCTTTGATTAGAGTAGTGGATTTCCGAACAGGATGTTCCATAAGCCAAGCAGCTGACAGTCTGTTGAGAGTTGTTTATAGGGTACTATCCAAGGAGCAGTAGAATCCTGTAGCTCCTCACACAGTTCCAGAGTCAGTCCTAGGGAAATAGAGGCTCATTCCTTTTATTCTCCTTACTTTCCCCAGGTAGCATGATCCTGTACAAATCACTTAGATTTTCTAATCCAAAGTCCTTGCAGTTGTCTTTGGAAGGTGTTCATAGGCTTTGCGATTATGCGTGGTAGGCTCCATATGTGGCTCTCACACTGAGAATTTGTCCGGACCAGCATGCTACCCTTCTACTCTATGCTTTTGGGGCTTGGGTGATCCTACTGGTTCCCATGAAATATATCTAGTTAATATTGCTTGAAAGTTAGATTTATATGCTTTCTATTTTATAATATAAGGTAGGTGATGATAGATCATTTTCTATTTATGGAGAAAGCATGCTTTCTAGAGCCTTAAAAATACATGTTATATTAATAGCTAAAATTTTGTGTAAGTAAAAGAAATGAATCTCTTTACATGTTACTTAATGTTAGATAATTATTTTTTGTCTTTCTTAGGCTGACATCTTAGATGTCAATCAGATATTTAAAGATTTGGCCATGATGATCCATGACCAAGGTGATCTAATTGGTAAGTATTATTGATACTTCTAACCTCAAGGTGAATTGTTAGTATTTGTGTAAAAAGAAGTCACCAATGGTGGCACATGCCTCCAATGGTGGCACATTATCAGTAGGCTGAAGACCAAGGATCACTTGAACCTAGGAATTCAAGGCCAGCCTGGACAACATAATGAGACCCCATCTCTTAAAAAAAAAAAAGTACGACATGTCAGCTATAGAATTAAAGTTTAGGAATACCATTTAAAAATTATTAAAAGCATTTTCTTAGCAGTTGTCTTCTATTGTCAAATGTAGGAGTTAAACTGAGGCCTCATGAATATTCAGCCCCATTCACTTGCTATATCTTGTTAAGTCTTTGTTTGGAGAAATAGCTTTCAGGTGCCCAGCTTTTCTGTCCAGAAACTTGCACAGTTATGAGATTAGTAACTCTTTTTTTAAAGCTTTCAATGTGTAAATAATTTCAGGTTTATAAAAAGTTGTCAAAATAGGTTTGGTGCCTGTGGCTCAAGTGGCTAAGGCACCAGCCACATACATCTGAGCTGGCAGGTTCAAATTCAGTCCCGGCCTGCCAAACAACAATGACGGCTGCAACCAAAAAATAGCTGGGCATTGTGGTGGGCACCTGTAGTCCCAGCTACTTGGTAGGCAGAGGCAGGAGAATCATTTGAGCCCAGGAATTAGAGGTTGCTGTGAGCTGTGATGCCACTGCACTCTACTTGAGGCTCTGTCTCAAAAAAAGAAGTTGCAAAAATAAAAATACTACAGGCACTCCTTTATACCCTTTATCCAGATTTACCTCCTGTTCTCTCTGCGTCTCATTTTCTCTCTGTGTCTGTACATACATACACATGCATGTATTTTTCCCTCAGTCATTTATGGTTGAGTTGCATACATTGTAACCCCTCACACCTAAATACTTAAGTGTTTTGTTTTGTTTTGTTGAGACAGAATCTGAGTAGACTAGGTTAGAGTTGCCCAAGTTAGAGTGCCATGGCATCAGCCTAGTTCACAGCAACCTCAGACTCTGTAATCCTGCTGCCTCATTTTCCCAAGTAGCTGGTACTACAGGTGCCTGCCACAATGCCCAGCTAATTTTTCTATTTTTAGTAGAGACAGGTTCTTGCTCTTGGGTCAGACTGTTCTCAAATTCCTGAGCTCCAGGGATCTTTCTGACCAGTTGTGGTGGCTCACGCCTGTAATCCTAGCACTCTGGGAGGCCAAGGCAGGTGGATTGCTTGAGCTCAGGGTTTCAAGACCATTCTGAGCAAGAATGAGACCTGGTCTCTATTAAGGACATAGTGGTGCATGCCTATAGTCCCAGCTACTCGGAAGGCTGAGGAAAGAGGATCTCTTGAGCTCAGGAATTTGAAGTTGCTGTGAGCTACAATGATGGCACATATAATACCCAGGGTGACAGAGTGAAACTCTATCTCAAAAATAGAAAAGATCCTCCTGCCTCCCAGTGTGCTAGTATTATAGGCATGAGCCATGGAGCCCAGTCAGACTGTTCGCCTCTTGAGGTAGTAACTTTCAATTTCATGGCTGGAGAGTTGGGATGGTGGCAGTGACACCAGGACCTATAACATCAGATATCTGTTCTGTTTGCAGCCTTGAAACAAGTGAGTGTTCTGAAACATCTGCTTGTCTTTTTGCAGATAGTATAGAAGCCAATGTGGAAAGCTCAGAAGTGCATGTTGAAAGAGCCACTGATCAGTTACAGCGAGCTGCTTACTATCAGGTAAAAGCAGATACCAAAGAGTCACTCTCTGTGCTGCAGACTTCACGGGCCATCACAGGATATTGACATAATTGAGAATAGTTGCAGCCTTTTGCTTAGGCTTAGGCTAAAGGAAGAAGTCCCCATAATTGCAGTTCCACTTCCGTTTTTAGTATTTCCCTTTGCAAATAGATGTTCAAAAAATCCTTGAACCTTGATAAACTTACCAGAATCCTCTTAGCTGCAAAGCTGATTCCATAAGCTAGCATGATGCCTAAGTCTGGTATAAGGCTAAACTAATATTCTAAATAGCTAAAATATGTTTCAGATAGAGGCACAGTTAAAGTAGGGCTTCATAGATACTGCATGTTGTCTCTTGCCACAGAAAATGGACATAGAATCAACTTTTGACTGCTATTTATATATGAATAAAGATAGGTTAATCATGATGGAACTAATTCCTATAAAGTAAAATCCTTCTATATATTAGTTGACTCCTGGGTTTTAAGGCTTATCTGGGTCTTTACTATGAATGAGGTCCTTCTCATTTCCCATCAAGTTGGTGTTGCATGGCTTTTTGAAATAAATAGCATTTTAGTCATTTTCCATGTTCCTCAAAAAGCTGTATTTTACCTGGGAATGCTCTTAAAGAAATTTGTATTTAATATTAGTATTTTCTTTAAAAAACTATGTGATGATTGGCTCAGCGCCTGTAGCTCACGGCTAGGGTGCCAGCCACATACACCAGAGCTGGCGGCAGGTTCGGATCTAGCCTGGGTCTGCTAAACAACAATGATAACA